AGAGGTGATTTTGGGGGCATGAACAAGCCCTTACAATTAAGTAAATTTAAAGTGTGAGGCAATATACCTTCTCTTCATTTTATATATATTTCGGTATATTTTACCATGTAGAAGTAAGCCTTGCAGTAAGCTCAGCTTGACATAGAAAAAATGTATGCCCAAAATTGGTTTGAAGAAAAGAAAGAAAATAGGAAAGGAAACCACAAAAGCAAGCTGCTTTGGTTTTCGGTTTAGTCACCATATTCTGGAATGCAATTTACTTGTTTTGTTTCAAGTAGACATAAATCTCGAACTTTCAAGATGGCTTTAAATAAAGGAATTAAAGAGTAAGTTTTGGACAACCTGAATGCTGCAATGCAAAATGAACAAACAGTGTTAAGCAAAAATCAGGATATGATAACTAGGAAGTTTTATAAATTAAAACAACAAAACCAAACCACCTTTAGCACATTTGGAATATTTGGGGGGAGAAATAATATACCAAGACAGCGATATTAAAAATTACAGTCCAAGACCATATTTTGAAGAAGTGCATGCCATTGGGAGGGTGAGCGTGTGTTTAAGTGAAGCATATGCCCGTGGTCTAACTTCAAAGCAAGTGCTTAAATCCTTGTGTGAACTGTGAGAAGGATTAGCTACTGCCTGGGCTTGCTCAGAGCCAGTGAGTGCACTATGATACCCCTTCTACACGAGGGTGATTTTATGTTGCTTGGAGCATACAGTAGTTTGCAGGGTTTGCTCACCAAGGGGATACAGAGGTTAACAGAGAGGCATGAATTCAGTTATTACCCCCACCCCTTCTCTTTTTGTTTTGTTACCTCTACTATGCAGGCAACAGAAGAGAAATAAATCAATTAAAACTCATTCCTGTGCTTTCAGTCATGAGAGGTACAACTGAAGAGTCCCAATTTAAATTTCATTGGTGAAATTAAACGTTCAAGGTGGTATGGTTTTCCTTGGCAAAATATGTCAATCCAGGGAGAAACTTCAGGCAAAAGCAGCACATTCTCCATCTGACTGTAGGTTTAGTTACCTGACAAAGAATTCAGGTCTCATTTTCCAAGTTTACATTTTATCACCTACAGTCAGAACAAACTGTTTTCTATAATGGTCTACACCTCTGAGCCAAAACACACTGCAAACTGGAGCACATTTTGGGCATACTTTTTATATGTCCAGCCAACCAACTGACACTTTTCAAACTGTGAAACGTTTTTAAAGCAAACAGCTGTAGCCTAAATCTTGATGCTGCTTTACAGAAAGCTTGTAAGTGAAGGTATATGGCCCTTAACTTTAAGTGCATCTGTTAAAGGGAGACCCTTATTACAACAGTGTCAGGATGGGATGTTTCAACGACTCCTTAAGTTTACACTAAAGCACTTGAGTATCCAGTTCATATTCTACAATGTAATGTCACAGAACTTCAATATGCAACTGAGTATGGTGTCTTAAAATAGCAGAGGGGGCTCCAGAACATAGTTTGTTTTTAAAAACTAACAACAAAATAAATAAAATAAATAAAAGCCTCCCATTGCTAAGCAGAACTCGACTGAAATTGAGAGCTCTGCTCTAATGTCAACGGCACTAAATTACAAAGATGGGTGTATGACCTCTATGCAGATATGCTGACAGCCATTATTCAGTACTAGATAGCACTTCTATCAGATTGCTTTGGGATTTACCATGTCTCAGGCAAGGATGTGCACTGGATAGACACTGTCAGTGTCAAATGCTGTATCAGAGTTCTATGTTCAGCTATACTAATTTCACAAAAGCAGCCTTACTCCCCTAAGGTAAGGCTGTGATTACTCTTATTTTGCCATGGCTAAGTAAAATCCCTGAGAATATGCAACTGTTAGACATTGAAAGAAACAGCTGAAAGCATTTCTAAAGGAAAGGGACGCAAACCTTCAAACTAGTGCAGTTTAAGAAACCAAAGCAGTTCATGTAAACTATGCAGAGCAAGGGTGCTGTTATCTGAGAGTCACGTGGACCTCTATCAGTATGCAGGTCAGTTGTTCATAAATGTCAGCCATTAAAAAAAAAAAACAAAAACAACCAACCCTAACCAATAAACAAACCAAACAAATCAAACAGAAAACACTGATCGTCTCTCCAATTCTAAACTTGAAGACCAAAAGTTAGTTGCTTGTTCTCTACGATTATTGGAATCAAAAGCAATCTTCCCTGCTTACCAAATGGACATCACAAGAAAAGAAAGAAGTGAATTGCCTAGGAGTGTATTTGCTTCCACGTGGGCATCTGGTCTACTGCATCCTTACAGGTGCAACTTGGGAGTTCAGCTCTGCAACATGCTGCATGGGTTTCTTTCTCAGTAGTGGTTTGACTGGAAAGACAGCATTCGTTCGTCTTAGAAGTGCTCAATGCCCTGCAAGAGCACTGCATGGTGAAGTACAAGTTCTGAAGGCAAGGAGACCTTGCTCAATTCCTTCTCTACAAGTCCTGTATTTAACAACAAGCACCCAGTGGTCTCTTAAAAACGTTCTCAGAAAGACCAATCTGAGGCAGGATGCTATGCTGATTAGAGGATACACAGTGTGGACCACTCTCTACTTGTTAGAAGAACAAAGAATGGTAGAAGTTAGTAATTGCTGAAGGTAATGGCCTATGAAGCTGTTCTCTGCCTACAAAATAAAGCCTCTTTACTTTTTGCATCAAACATTGTGTCTGATGAGTTACTAACTAGTGGGGTTCTCCCACTAGTTAAAAACCAAAATAAACCAAAACAAACAGAAAAACAAAAAAACCTCCAAGACTAAGTGCTGAATAAGCTTTCCTGCTACTGGAAAAGCTTAGAGCAAAATAGAAGTCAGTTTTCATCATGATCCCAGTTAATTTCTAAAGAAAAGGGATCTCTTCCTGCTCTCCCCATACCCCAGCTGACATTTTGTGGAAATGTGGTCTCCATTACCTTCCCAGAGCATTCAGCTAAGAACTATTACAGCAAAGTTTCCCACGTAATAGCCGAAAACCCTGAGGAAACCATGCAGGGTGGAGAGTTGGTTATTTTGCTGCAGGGGTCGTTTCTTTGCATTCATGCTTAGAAGAAGCAGACAGCTGAATCCCAAAGGCTCTCTGCTTCATTTTTTGCACTGTGACTAGTGAAATAATTGAATGGAGCTTTGGTCAAAAGTTTTGACTTTGTATTCAAACATAAATATATACTACTTAAATTAAGAAAACCCAAAAAACTAGAACACCCACACCCTTCTGATTCCTCCTGGTGTATGTAGGAACTACAGATAGGCACAACTCAGCAAAGATGACAGGAACAAGAAAGACACACTGTTTAAATGCCTAATTACAGTTCTGGTATCTTGCTTTATACACCAAGTGTGATGCTTGGTCTTTTCTTCAAGTATCATATGCTCTTCTTAAAGCTCACATCGCTAAGCTCTTTAGAAAGGATCAAGTATTTGGTGTGCAGAGAGGCTCCCGTCACAGAGCGATGCAAGGCAACAGGCCTGCAGTACATTCATTTTACCGACAATGTGGTTTTCAGCCTAGCAAAAGCCAGTACTTCTCCTATGAGTATGGTGACACTGAAACCTATCCTGTATTTACGAACATTTACTAAATCTAAGTACCTCACTAGCACAGTCTTCTCTCCTCCTGCACATGAGTTAAACTCAGCTCTTTGCACAAAGCCATCTGAAGCCCAAGGTCTTCACTGAAAGACCCATTTATGCCTTGAATTGTCAGTCAGTAATTCACAGACAGCATTCTGTGTCATCAACACAACTAGGAATTTTGTCCTTAACCATATCACTAGCTGAAAGGGCTTCTTTATTATTTTTAATAGCAGCAGTGTTAAGGAGCACATTTTTATCTGCATCAGCAAAATGGGAAAAAGGGGAAATCTTATTTTCTTAATTTGCAGTCACTTCTACGTTGTTTCAGATTTTAAAGTTTGTAATTGGCCCAATGTGTAACGGTTCCGTGACAAAGTCTAGCTTCTCCTACACTTTACTCATTTCATGTCCACTTCCATGAAGTCTCTGCCCATAATGGCAGCCTAGGACGGATTTAATGAAATCTGCTTTTTAAACTACTATCTCTAATCAATTTAAAAGCAAATACTACATTTTGTGTAGTGTGAATGTAAATCAAATGTGTGAATTTGATTTAAGAAAACCCTAAACCCAAAGTAGAAAAACCCACCAAAACCTTAATAAACCAGGATGATGGACATGATCTTCAATTGCTTGTGTAAAGCACTTTGCAATTAGCTGGGCTCTGCCAGTCTGTGCCAGCAAATTTCTTGTGGCCCACTGGCAGGAGCTGACAAGGAGAATGCGGCACATACTGGGAGCTGGTGAGGGAACACAACCCCCAGTTTCAAAGGCTGGCTCCTAGGGAAGCTCAGACCACCACTCACATACGCCTGTGGTGAAGATCTCTCTAATATTTGGGGAGGTGCTGCATTAAAAAGCTTCAACCCAAATTAAGGGACAAATGCACCGCATATCTTATAAGGTGGCGTTTAACTGACCTTCTCTTCTGCTACCGAAGTAACAATAACTCTCACTACCTCCATCCTTCTACACCATCGCAGGCAGCGGGCACGGGGCATGGCAGAGCCAGAGCCAGCAGCGCCTGCCTGGGCTCCATCTTGACATCCCAGCTGCTCCGCTGCACGTGCTGCTCTCTCCTAAGGTACGGGAGCAAAGGCCAAATTCTGCTCTTTTATGAGGTGGAGAGAAGAGGGGATGCACAGGCAGGAGAGAAACAGTCAAAAACATTCATCATGGACATAGTTATGACCCGAAGAGAAACAGTACCTCTGCATTTAAACACAAAACAAGTGTTAACAAAAAAATAAAAATCATACATACCCTTCCCCAAAACCACTCACAACACCCTTCCCACCTGAAAAGATACAATGAAAAAAAACAATGTCCAAAAAAAACCCCAAAACAAAAAGACATCTTTGTTAACAGACACAGTCCCTGAAGTTTTAAGACACGATCTTGCTGTAGTCATACTACCTCATCTGACTCCAAACCATGTACTTCATAGAGAGTGTCCAAGATATTTAGCTGCTTTTCCATGGCTGGTAAATAAATGTTGAGGTCCCTCTGCATTCCTTTGTAAAATGTTTCTTCCTGAGGATCACACTCCTCTACAGACAGAGCTGCCACAAAGTCTTCGTACGTTGGAGCTGCCCTTAAAGCTAACTGGGAGAGGAACCAAAGCTTTTAGATTTACAAAACAGGAAAAGAAACCAAACTAAAGCCACAAAAAACTTCTAAGACATCCCTCATTGCGCTTAGACTGCATAGCTTTAATTTATTTATGTGTATGTGTATATTTTAAGATTTTTAACTGACAGGGAGGCTAATATACGGAGTTATTATTTTGTAATTATTCTCTCTATGTAGATCCCCAGTTTAAGATGTCTTCAGAGAGGTCTGATTTTTAGGAATTGAATGAAATACAAGCCCTAAATAAAGTACAGTTTGTTAGAGGAGCTCCCAACCTAATGTCACACACTTCAACATTGAAGTCTCATTCTCAAAACACTCTTTAGAAAGCTTTCCCCGACATTTCTGTTTCTCCCAATCAAAGTCTCTCTCATAATTGCCTGGATGAGGCTCTTCTTTTTTCTAATTTCAGTGATAATTTCCAGTGACAGGCACGAGGGGGAGCTGCCAGACTGGCCAAAAAATACACCATTTCCTCTAGCCAATATATTGTACTTAACTCCCCGACACATTCAACACTAACCCTTCTTGAATGCTCACATCCAAAGACAGACCAATCCTCAAAAAAAAAAGCAACCTCAAACGCTCATTTCTTTGTTTAATAGCCCTGAAAGACTGTGCTGAAAAACACATAATGAAAAAAAAAATGCGCATGTGCAAGCATGATCTGTCTGTTTTAGCTCTAGAAAGCAGGTTCCACCCTGAATGCCCAATACTGAACGTAGTGATAGCCACAATCCTCACCCAGAAAATAAGGTCTGACAAGGGAATCTATTCATTTTAATGCTTATAATTTTAACATGGTTTATTAATTACACACAACATAAGATCACATTAACAAAAGCCCCAGCTCTATCAGCAACCAAGATAAATACTTACCGCAAAGACCCCGCGGACAACCCAACCATGGTGCTGCCGTAATGTCTTTCCATAAGCATTGTCTTAAAGGAAGGAAAAAAAACCAAACAAAAAAATCAAAACAATCAAGAGCTAGATGTACGACAGTTTTAAGTTTCCACAAAGAGAACTTAGAGCTTAGAAACAGCTATTTAAGGATATATTCTTGCCACTGGATGCAGATAAGGCCATTTCTGAGGACCACAGTTATGACTGAAAGAAGATGACAGATTCGGGATCTCTGCATCGGGGTCTCAGCTCTGCTGTCAAATCTCCTTCAACTCATCCACGGCAAGTAAGCATTCTAATAGACAGGAAGGCAAATGTAGTTTTTATTTGACTAGCTGTGCTTCACGACTAACACTTCTTCTACTATCTAGTTTTCAGTTCAGTGCAAGTCTGAAAAAATAATATACAGGGTGAAACAATCCTGCAGCCTCATGGTTAGCCAGCCTCAGTCGAGGTGGTTAGCTCAGGCATTAACCACAAACTCTCTCTTTACATCTGAGGGTCAAGTTTTGAGGGTCATTGGAACAGAAAGCACCAGGCCCTTATTATGTTCCTAGACAGCTCCACTTTCATATACAAAGCTTTCCGTATACAAACATCTTTGAGCCATATTTTCCCAGTCTTAGTTTGTCACTGTTGTCATTTCATATCCTTGCCCTTCAGGTGAATTTTTAAGTATCTGACTTTGTACTATACTTTCCTTACTGTTCACCTTGAAGAAAGAGAACCTCTACGTTTTACTGCTTTAGGATATTTGCTCAAAGACTGCAGATAGTTATTATTTGGCAGAGTGTAAGAAGTCAGTAAAACACAGCCACAAGTTTTGCTGTAATATGAAGTACTCCTCATCTATCAGTCTTGTAACTGGGGAATGTGGGTTTTCTATCTTTACAGTAGGAGGGAGAATCTATGAGAAAAGCATATGGTAATAAGAGCAATGAAATAGGAGAAAAAGAGTATTGTGTAGCAAATTGGACTGAGAAGTCTATTCTCTGCCTTACGAGCAAATATAGGGGACATTAAAAACACCAGAAGTTGAAAAGTTTCCTTGGGATTTAAATCTAAGCAAAGACAAATAACTTTAGAAAGCTGTTTGTTCCTCAGAAGATCCTAAGAGCTGGTGGGTATTCCATTTTTTGTTTTAATTTCATTAGCTTGATATTTGAGGTTGTAGAAAGAGAACATATACCCCATCTTTACTTGAGACTCAAATAGCACAGTAACTCCTAAATAAGAAACTGTAACACCACACCAAAGCTGCACTGCTGATACAGATATGGAAGAGTTTTTCAGGGGAAGAAAGGGAAGGAAAAGGTGAGGAAAAAACCAGCAGCTTGGCTCTGCTGTGGACACAGAGCAATTCAAGAAGTAATTTGGTGCTGAAGCCTTCAGACTCAGAAGGTCAAATAAGTGCCTTGACTTTCTGTGGTGTTTAACATCCACATCTGGTAGCAGTGTATTTACAGTCCCACTTCCAAGAGCTGCTTACATACTTCAGTGTAGTAGCTGTTTTTACTAATCCTGTAGGATGACTGCTTAGCTGTTTAAAAGAAGCTTAAAAAAAAAAACCACAACACTTTAAAAAAAGCTGGTTTAAAGCTGTTTTAAAGGATTATCATAACATTAGGCTGCATGCATATAGAGAGGGTCTTACTCAGGAGTAACCAAGTCATGTCTTAAGAGCTGTTTGTGTTTTATTTTATACATGCTGTGGGCACTAGCCTGACTAGGTGTCAGAAACTGTTTACTTGAAAAAAATTCCTTTTCTGCTACAAACTCCTTTCTAACTGATACAGGCAATTCACAGCCATACTGGCAAAGAATCACAGAATTTACAGAATCATTAAGGTTGGAAAAGACCTTTAAGATCAAGTCCAACCTTCAACCCAACACCACCAGGCCCACTAAACCATGTCCTGAGAGGTGATTTCAAAGAGCCACGGCTAATCTCACAACGAACTAAAAAAATAACACAACAGCAACTATAAATTTGGGAGCACTCTTGCTGCAAACCAGTGGAGAAAATGGAATGAGACAAAGCACTTTTTTCCCTAAGGTATGACTGTCTCCCCTGCCAAAAGTATGCTAATAAAAGCAATCTTTATCTGCTATTAAATCAACATTGACCAGTTATCTAGTAATCTGCCTGAAAACTGCCATTTTCAGAAACTGCGATTTTCAAAAAAGTTATGTCTTGGAGATTACTTGCATCATTAGTCACTGAAGAAAACAGGGGTTCTAAATGAGGAGGAAAATAGCCAAATACGTAAATTCAGAAGCACATGAAGAATAAAGCAATTGGCACTTACTCAGAGCTATTTGGATATTCTTTTCCCCGTTCTTCACTTCTGTCAAAAACCCTTTCAAGAACTTCAAGCCTCTGTCAGGATGAATCCACGAAATAAAAAGAAATCACGTTTAAAACAAAGTAACCTGAAGTATAACAAAGCCCCCAAAGCTGCAATACAACTCAGAAGTACAATAAAACTCAGAATTAAGGCACCATTTTCAATCTGAATAAAAAAAAAAATGCAGCCACCTCCTCCAGCCTCTCTCCTAACCCAAGGAAAAACAACTTCACTAAAACGTTTCTGCTGCAGCCTGAAATCATCTGCCTGATGTTCTGGCCCAACAGGATCAGTCACTCACTGTAACTTCACTTTTATAGGAAAAAAGGTTGCCTGCGATCACTTTTTCAGGCCTTTTGGCAAAGTTACAGTGATGCAACCACAGACAAGACATTAATTTTGAACCTAGCCAATTCTGCTTGATGGAGCCTGTGGAAAGTAACCAGTTTGCTCCATGTACAGAAGCTTGCACTGGTGAAAGGCCCCTCACTCCACCTTAGCGGTTCGCAGTGTAAGTAGATACGAGGCCGTTACCTTTTTAGCCACAGGAGAGCCTCCGTAGCAGAGTTTCTAACTTGTGCTACGCCGGCATTCACTTCATGGAGCACTATCTTCTGAAGGGTATCAAACTCTTCTTTGTTGGTTATAAACTTCTGGTTTATTTTCTCGAGAAAAAACAAGAGGCAAAGCTTTAGGCTTTTAAGACCAAACAGTGGCCTGTCCTATAAATACCACCCAACTACCAGGACTCTTCCCTGCAAAGGGATACCACAGATCCCCAACCACATCACACACTCCCCAGGGCATGGCTGGCCTGCCACGCTGGGCACACCTTCCCAGGGCACAACCCCAGGCAGCTATCTGGCTAACGCAACCAAACAAAAGCATCTCAGTCAAAACTCTACATGAAACCTACCAGTTCTGTCTGACAAAATGCTTTAGGTTCACATGGCATCCTTGACACCAGTGGAATGGAGTTAAACCAACCTGTTCTCCAAGCAAAGTCCCATTTGCCCCAACCTTCAAGTACAAGCAAGATTACCTTCTGACAACTGCGAAGCTACAAATTCCCAATTACGCTTAGCAGTCATTGGCATGCTTAAGCTTTTTAATTTATTCCAAAATTTGTTATACACAACTACTCACAAAAATAAAGGGGAAAATCTACAAGGCACTTAAACAGAGTCATCTTCTACATTAAAAGAGCAGCTGCCTATCACTTAACATACATACTCAATTTTTTTAAATTTACGTAATAGTCTTCACCCTTGCTATTTTCAGTCTTTCAACGGCTACCTTCAGCAAGATAAGTACATATCTGCCTTACTTTGCACGAAACAAATCTGAATGTATGCAATGTTCCTTATCATACACTCAGGAGATATGTCTTGCTTTTCTTCTTTTTCCTTGAAAGAAAAGCTACGAAAAGTTTCACTATGAATACATCTTGTCTCACAAGTAGCACTTCAAACTTTTTCAGACTTGGAGCTGGAAGGACTGTCAGAACAAGAACTGAAGCTGCAGGGTCTGCCCCAACCTGCTGTGAAGCTCCTTCTTAACACACTAATTTGCCCCTAGTTCTTTGAGGAAAGTGTCTTGTGTGTGTCCCCAGTTTATTTTTACAGTCTAAAGTCAATATTGCTACCGCCGCATCATGACTTACAACCTATTCAGCTCAGAATCAAAGTCATATTCATTAGGTGTAACAGCTGTTTCACATGGCAGTCAATCAAATATTTTATAAGTTTATGCACAACGGTTGGATCTATTAAACACAGCATGTACTGTAAGAACAGAATTAGGGGCATTTCGGCATTCTGATCTGACAGATGGTAACATTATCAAATATTAAATAGCCTTCCAGTATTGACTCCTACAACAAAGATTCTTGAGTTTTAGTACCTAAAATAGATTAAAAATAAAAAAATAATTAAATCGGTGTTTGAAATAAGCCGTTACCTTGATGTTACCTACAAAATCCATTTTAACAGGAGCAAAAACAGTTGGTCCCAGCTTGTCTAGGAAAAAAAAAAAAAAAGCAGCCATATTTTAAAATTGTGTCTTTTTCCAGTCTTTATGTCTTAGTAACAATTAATTTCATTTACTCTGTTAACTTCTTCTAAATGACAGAAGAATATTAAATGAATGACATAAACCAAAGTCTGTCTTTGGTGTAGAACTTGTACCATCCCAGTTGGTACAAGTGTTAAAATACACCGACCTACAATTTGGAAGTCTTCAAAAGGGTGCATGCTTACAGGGTCTTCACATCTACTGTTAGATTCAGGGACCAAGCAGGCTGGAGACAGAAGTCTTTGGAAAAACCAAGTATTAGCAATAGCCAGTACAGCTGATGGTGTACTGTCTGATACTGCTGACATGCAAGGCATTCCACGCTGTTCTTTTGAGGGCAAGAAGCTGCTGTTCCAGATACACCCATAGATTTCCAGACAGCTTATACATGGGTCCAACCTAAACAAGAGTGGATCCTCTACAAAGCGGAAGAGTAAGAAACATCTTCTGGTACCAATCAAATTGATTCTGCTGATAGGAACTATTTCTATACCACTTTAGCAAAGAAACAAATTCTCCAAACCAACTGCTCCACCTTTTTTCACAGCTTGGTAGCAGTAAAAAAGAGTTAGATGCACCCACAAGAGCGAGTTGCTTACCCAGAACGGGCACAATTGCATAACATGACTCCAGAAACTCTTCTGTTGGTATGCCCTCCTCCTCCCGAAGTTCAATATCACTGAACCTAGTGTGCAGGACAAGCAGAAAAGATTGTTACCTTAACAACTCATTTTGTGCAACTTCTGAAAGACAAAATTACATTTCACACCCACTCCACTTGCATAGAGGTAAAATTTATAGACATGGAACCACCAACATGGCTTTTGTTTCACTAGGTTAAAGTAAATGACTGCAGAAAATACACATTTGGTGGTGTGCAAGCAAGGCCTGTAATTATAACCAAGCAAAAAACCTCCCACTCCACTCTGTACAGCCAGTTCTACAAAGGGTATCTTCTTCAATTACAGTACTGTATGCAGTCTTGTTAAAGAATCTCAGCAAATACAGCTTTACAGACAGAACAGACTTAGAAATGAGTCAATTAAGGGCTAAAAATGTCAATAATCCTTCTAATTTACATCTGCAACATATACTACCTATTGCTCATGACACTGAAGAAGGTAGGAGAATCATTTTCATTCCTGTCCTCCTCACACAGAGTCAATCCACTTAAAGAATTTGTTTCCAACTGCAGCAGCTTGTGGGCACCAAAGCTTTCTACAGCTTGCAGCTTGTTCTCTCCATCTTCTTTAATGCCTTACATTTATAGGAAACACAAGAAAAACACAAATAGAAAAAGAAAACAGCCACGCTCCCATATTGTTATTCCTGTTCCTTAAGACAGGTCCTATTTGAAGGAAGGCACTTGGACATCTGGATCGTACAGATTTAAAAGCTTTCCCTGCCAATACCATGACTCTCACCACAATTCCACCAGTCCCCTCCCCATTTCTTTTAATCAGACAGACCAAGCACCAGGCTCCACTGCAGGTGAGCCCACACATCCTCAGCCAGGACAGCGATATGAGAGAAGAGCATTGAAGAAGTGATTGGGTAGAGCAGGGAGCCGACTCATCTCCTTGAAAGAAAGATTACTTCTCACATGCTGTAACTTCCCCAGTGCTGATAAAAGTGGCACAGTGCATCTTCAAACACAAAAGAATAAGAGTAACTTGTTTGCTCCTTCTGCTAAGGAAACTGGCTTCTTTACTGCTATGTACACATGGCAGTGGAACTGCTGGGGAGCTACAGGCCTGTCAGCCTGACCTCAGTACTGGGGAAGATCATGGAGCAGTTCATCTTGAAGGTGCTCACAAGGCACGTGCAGGACAACCAGGGGATGGCCGAGCCCAGAGAGTTGTGGTGAACAGAGTTTAATCCAGTCGGCGGCCGGTCACAAGCGGTGCTCCCCAGGGCTCAGTTTTGGGGCTGGTCTTGTTCAATATCTTTATCAATGATCTAGATGAGGGGATCGAGTGCTCCCTCAGTAAGTTTGCAGATGACACCAAATTGGGCGGGAGTGTTGATCTGCTGGAGGGCAGGAGGGCTCTGCAGAGGGATCTGGACAGGGTGGATCGATGGGCTGAGGTCAACTGTATGAGGTTTAACGAGGCCAAGTGCAGGGTCCTGCACTTTGGCCACAACAACCCCATGCAACGCTACAGGCTGAAGAGCTGCTCGACAGAAAAGGACCTGGGGGTGCTGGTTGACAGCCGGCTGAATATGAGCCAGCAGTGTGCCCAGGTGGCCAAGAAAACCAACAGTGTCCTGGCCTGTATCAGGAATAGTGTGGCCAGCAGGAGTAGGGCAGTGATTGTGCCCCTGTACTCGGCACTGGTGGGGCCGCACCTTGAATCCTGTGTTCAGTTTTGGGCCCCTCACTACAAGAAGGACACTGAGGTGCTGGAGCATCTCCAGAGAAGGGCAACGAAGCTGGTGAGGGGTCTGGAGCACAAGTCTTACGAGGAGTGGCTGAGGGAACTGGGGTTGTTGAGTCTGGAGAAGAGGAGGCTGAGGGGAGACCTTATCACTCTCTACAACTACCTGAAAGGAGGCTGTAGTGAGGTGAGTGTTGGCCTCTTCTCCCAAGTAACTAGTGATAGGACGAGAGGAAACGGCCTCAAGTGGCACCAGGGGAGGTTTAGATGGGATATTGGGAAAAATTTTTTTACTGAGGGAGTGGTCAAGCATTGGAACAGGTTGCCCAGGGAAGCGGTGAAGTCACCATCATTGGAGATGTTTATAAAACGTGTAGATGTGGCACTTTGGGACATGGTTTAGTGGGCATGGTGGTGTTGGGTTGACAGGTGGACTTCATCTTGGAGGTGTTTTCCAACCTTAATTATTCTATGATTCTACGACATCAAAGGCTGCTATGTTCTCCCTGATTTGTATGAGTATCTTTAAAGTTTCCCAGAAGAAGATCCAGTTGCCTCTTCCTCACTGTGGTCTGTTTTATTTCAGCTTTGGGGTCAAATTTGTTTCAAATAAACAAAGCACTACACGAGCACCTCTGGAAGAAGATAAAGTCCCAAAGAAAGCTCACATCCCATGCGTGGTAAGACCTTCTGACCTCCTGGAGAAGTGCAGAGAACAAGTCAAGATGCAAAGGTGATACATTCACAGCATCTGCAGCACACAGGCCATGGCCACAGCATGTTTTGCTGCCACACCGTCACACTAACATCCAAAATTCCTCAGGGAACAGGTCTCCAGGATCAGGTCTCTCAAGGCCAGTGAGGATACACAGACCTGAAGTGGAACCGAACTTCTGGCTGAAGGGATCCAACTGCAAGGAACTATCTTCCTCTGAGCAAAGTCTGAAAACAAACTTGCAGCTTTCCCTATTACTTGCAGAACCACTAAATAAGCCTGGTGCTGGGTGAAAAAAGAATCACTTGCACCTGGTAACAACAACGAGACTTTAGCCGTGCTCCTCAGGGCAGAAAAAAATGGCTTCAGCCATCACTGACCATGCCTTACTCACAAGCAAAGTGACTCTGCTAAGTAACTAGAGTTTGAGGGATGTCGCTGATCTGTCCTTCATCAAGACACATGGGCTGGTGAGTAGATAAACAGCCCGAGTTCACAGTGACTCCACAGGAGTGCCATGCATAAAGCCTGGGGTCCTCTAAAACTTCAAACTCAAAAACTGTAAGCACTAAATGACAAAGAGAAATTTCTTACAGGACTTAAATGCTTGAGTGTTTTTAAAGATTGACTGCTTTAATAGAGGGGAGAGGGAGGGAAGAGTACCTGAGACAGGGCGGAGCTCCTGGGCTCACAGGGAGCACCCAAATACAGCCATCAGCGAGATGGAGCCCCAGGCTGGCTGAGTCAGCCCATCCCAGACGGATGGCACTGCACATCCTGGCCCACCCCATATTGCCAGCAAAACTCTGCAACTCAGATGTGTGTACCCAAGAGGGGGTAGGCTTTTCTCTTTTTTTGTACAGGAACAACGTCAGTAGCTAAATGATACCAACAACCTGACTGGAATTCGTTTCATCTCCTTGTTTTAGCACTGTATTCTTGAGGTACTACACTAAATGGTGACACATGCATGTTATTCTGCAGTGACTTACCACACCACACAACACCAATTACAGAAATGGGAAAAATTCCAAAGAGAACCCATGTAAGAGTAAAATCACGATGTTCATTAATTTGGGCTTGAAAACTTCAGCTGATTCACTGACTGCATACGTATGTTTTGGAATAATGGCCAGGCAGAAAAACCTACTGTTCAAGAACGATACAGTCCGTTCAACAGAACAAACAGAAATCTTCAGTTACTTGTATAGACTTACACTAAATTTAAGTTCAGCAGCCCTTAACAATATAGCTATGTTGGATGAAATTTTATACTGAATTAGTTCAACAGTGTTTTACTGAAGTCACACACAAATCTACGTTTCATGCTATTACTAAGGTAGTGGAAGAAATAAGGTGCTTTCTAGTATACTCTTAGTTGCAGAAAAAGGATTAATTTTCTGTAAAGATTTGTCAGAGCAATCAAAAGCAACTACAAGGTCAATCCCTCAGAGACAGGCACACAAAGCTTCAATGCCCCCCTTCTGACAGTGCAGCCCTACATACTAGCAGAGGTGCCGGCATTCCCAGTGGAGGGCCTCTGGGAATAACACATCTGTCTACAGCACAAGAAAAGCCCAAGCTCTGCCAGGCTGTATTGTTACGCATGTCAATCAACATCTAGAGGCACCTCCACATGTCCAAAAAAGAATTTTTAATTTCCTTCCCCTTCAGTTCCAAGTTATCTATCAACAAGGGCAGGAGCTACGCTGGGAAGACTTGACAGTGGGCAGATATCAGACTAAAATACGCTGACATTCCCTCTCCTGGGAAGCGAGGTATCAGCACTCTCACAGGCAGCCTATACCTCCCTCCATTTACACTTAAAGAGTAACGATTCTGGATAAAAAACAGTGCATGTATTTACCTGCCAAATGCTCTGCTATGTGATCTTCAAGAGAAACATCGCTGCTCCCCTCATTTGTTTCCAGGTTTAAACATTCCAGACTTTTAATGAGGGTTTGCTCTTGGTGGTTAATTTCTGCTTTTACAGAGCCATTTTCACAGGGGTTCAATTCCATCTGCCTGAAGAAAGGGAAAGAATAATGGTTAGTGGATAAAACATTGCTTGGTAAGCTTCTTCCTGTGAAAACACACAAATAGCAGTAACAGAAAAATAGTTGACAGAAATTGTAGGCTGTCACAGGCTGCTCTGAGCAAAAGAACTTCTCTAAAGTGGTAAAAAGGAACCAGGCAGCTCTTGGCAACAAGTAGGATTAATGATTGAACGTCAGTTTACAGAGTTTGAATATATTTACAATGACCTTTACTAAAAAGAGACACAATCAAAAAAATACAATCGACTACAAAAAAGAAAATCACAGACAGGTATCGTAGCTAAAAGAATATCCCCTCATTAGTACTTTAAAATGTATACCCTGCCACCTACTCCACAAATCATAGCCTGCTCTCCATCAACGATTTTATGAGCTTATGGAGTGGAACCTAAGATGCAGGAAAGAGCACTGAAGTGGGAGAGAGCTGGCTGGTGACTAACCAGTAAGTCACCAAGTGGATGGCTGAGAAAAATAAAAGGGAAAAGGCTGATAAAGAAGAGACATGGATAGAAGTCACACACAAGAAGTGGGGTGAGCCAGCTCCCTTTTGTTGTGTCTGCTTCCAAGTATGCAGCTCAGAGCAGTAAAATTCTGCCTCCATCCAGTACTAGTAATATTAGAGTAAAAATATGGAAAGAACAGACACTACCAAAAACAGAGTAGAAAGAGATTGACAGTAAAGACTTTTATTATACCTTTCTGTTGAGGTGTGACTGGACAAGACAGAGTGCTTTATCTGTAAGATAAATGGGGAGGGAGAATATTCTTTAAAGCAACAAGACTGTATCATGCTTCTCAAACTTCATATTTTATTAAACACAGGTTGGAGTCAGCAAAAAAGCTGAAAAGCTAAGCATATGCTCACTAATTCTTTGTCCTGGAGGCAGTTAACAGACAAACATGAAAAAGATGCTACATTATTATATCATTAAAATATTGAAAAGAAAAAAAAAGAAAACCAGGTGACTTCTTTCAGAAGCTAGCTAGCAAGTGCCAAGTGAGACACCATACAGCATATGGAAAAGAAACAAGGCAGTGAGTTTTCTTTGCAATGATGTTTTCTTCACTTAAGAAAAAAATTATGGAAAAACAGAAGAAACATGAGGTCAGATACCAGGTATGATGAAGTAATCTCACTTCCCAGATGCAGTGACACATCTACCTTCCTACATACACCTTCATCTGCTGTTTGCGAGAGATGCTCCAGTTTCGCTTATGTAGTTGTGGATCCAGGATTCAAGAAAGTGCCCTTGTCATTAAACAGATAAGCTCATCACTCCTGCTGGTGTATTACCATAGGTCCAACGCTGCAGTAGCTTAGAAGAGTAATAATTGCTATGAGCTCCCACAATGGACCAACTTGCCATACAGCCAAAGTTATTTTGTCTGCAGCTGGAACAGGCCCTGAAAGTTAGTACTAATAACTTTCACTTATCATTAAAAGTTAAGAGATTTGTCACTGCTTATGAAAAAATGGCCCTACCTCACTTGCAAACCACAAGAAATAGCAGAGTATGTCCAGTGGAAGACTATTAGCTATAATACGGGTAAAAATGCATTCCCTACTCCTACAAATGCTGCTTTACAAAAGGGCTCCTTAGCATCCACACCAAGACTGAGAGAAGAGGATAGTGGCCACTACCTTGTTCGTCCTGAGAACTGCTAAGTGTGGAGATCCTGGCGGGGTCTGATGCAGTAACTCAGAAGTGAAGGCAGTATTCGCAATCTGCATACATTCTTCAAGCGTCTTCAGGAAGGTGTCACAGGTTGATTTCAACAGAGCTCCCATATCAATCTCGCTCTGTGGGAAGAAACCAGTTCAGAAGAAACGGACTCACCACAGATCAATTCAGGGTAACGTCTACAAAGCCCACAGCTGCTACAGTCATGATTTCTGTTTAACTTGAATTAAAACGCAATGCGTTAACTGCTCAGAGAACTGGCATCACATATTACTGGGGCTATGCTCCCTCACAGCATTACCACTCTTGTGAGCCTCTCACTACAACAAGCTCAGTATTCTTGCATTTTAAAAGCAATGCCTCTTAGTTACTTATCTCTGTAAGTAGTTAAAAGTTAGTTACTAGTGTTAACAAGTAGTTAGTAGTGTTAAAAGTGTATTAAATACTAAGCCATCATGTGTTCAACAATGGCATTCCAGAATACACCACTGACAGGAGAAATGAAAAGTAAGCAAATTAAATAGATACAGCATGTTCTGTAGACAATAATTTCAAAAATCCCATGAACAAATAATTACTGCAATTGAAAAACAGGCAGAATGAAGTATCACATTGCCACAATACACTTCATCTCTGCAAAGTGCAGTTATTGATGCTGAAATGCTTTTAGCAATGTATCTTCCCAGTTAAATACCACTGAGATGAGGGAAAGCCAGTTTTCCCCCAGAAACGTGAACTACGAGCCAGAAAAACACCACATTACTTTTTTGTTGTCAACACCTGTGAGCTGCACATTCTAACAGTGCCTTTTAGTCACTTATACACCACATCATGCTTCTGCACTGCCGGTTAATTCACCATAAACAGTTTATCAGGTATCTTTACAGAGATGGTTTGGACGTGCAAATGATTAACCTTCAGGTGTTTTCCCTGCCTGTCCTGCACCTGAGGACCCATCTCTCCAGTGGGAGGCATCCTGGAACTCCACACCAGCTTCTCTAGCAAGTCGGGAGTGAAGGGGTGCAGCTGGGAGTGGGGAAAGGGGGGGTGGTAAGAAGGTGGTTTTTTAATGTTTGCCTTTTTTTTTTCACTACCTGAATCTATTTTAAATGGCAATG